CATTTGAAATTCAAACAACATTTTGACTTTCCACAGCCATTTAGATGAGAAAAGGTCTCAAATTGCCAAGGATAGCACAAAAGACACAAGATATCTGAAGCACTTCAGTTTACTACAGCAGGTTCATTTTTGCTTTACAAAGATACTAATTTCTGTAACTCCAAATCCCATTTCCAGTCCTTTCTATCTCTCTATGGCAATGGGTTGTATTGAGACGTGAACTTTTGCACTATTGTACAAATTACCATTGTGAACATGTGATTTGAATAAATCTAGTCCCAAACCCAGGGACTATATGATCACAACAGACAATAATATTCCTCCAAAGTTCAGTGGTACTCTTTGGAATACTTGCTTTGCTCAACCCGCTTTTGAACACATCTTCCATACTGAGAATTGTTTTCAGGATTGTTGTCAGATCTTTGTATGTATAGATTTAGTTTTTGTTTGCAGAGAGAGAGTTCAAGTTGTTTTAGTGTTGTGAAATAAATTTGCCAGTAGAATCTATGAAGAAAAGCTACAACAATCATGATTTTTATTCTTGAGAGGCTTGTAAGGCTCCAGTGTTTTATCCGCAGCATTATGCAGCTACCAAGTCAAGGCTGAAATATTTCAACAATGCCCTGTTTGGGAGGGGAAACGAGGCAAAAAGATAGTTGTCCACGTCAGGCCACGCACAGACCAAATCCTCTTGCTTATCCCAAAGGTCTGGAATTACCGAGCAACAGCCCCAAATGTCACTAGAGCTGGAAGGCAAATAACACTGACAGACTTAACCCGCAGCCTGGTGCTCACCTCTTAAAACCCTTTGCAAACGCAAGCTGCAAAACCCATCAGCATGACTCCAAACAAACCCACGCTTACGTGTTTGCACATGACTTGACCTTTTGCAAATGGTAGCCAGGGAAAATAAGCTGCGGGGCTGTGACCACAAACCATCGTCCTGTCTCATTCCCCTCAGCTTTCCTTCTTCTGGCTCCTTGGTGCAGATGTCCCATAGATTTAATGCAAGCTTGACAAGACTTGGACTGCAATGGCTGAATGCTATGGGATCCTGGGATTTGTAGTTTGGTAAGGCTCCAGTCCCAGCTCATGGGCCCCCGGTGGCGCAGTGGGTTAAAGCACTGAGCTGCTGAGCTTGTTGATCGAAAGGTCGCAGGTTCGATTCCGGGGAGCGGCTTGAGCGTCCGCTGTCAGCCCTAGCTTCTGCCAACCTAGCAGTTCGAAAACATGCAAATGTGAGTAGATCAATAGGTACCACTCCGGCAGGAAGGTAACGGCACTCCATGCAATCATGCTGGCCACATGACCTTGGAGGTGTCTACGGACAATGCTGGCTCTTCGGCTTAGAAATGGAGATGAGCACCACACCCCAGAGTCAGACATGACTGGACTTAATGTCAGGGGACTACCTTTACCTTTACCTAAGGCTCCAGCACTCTTTGGCAGAAAAGGCTCAAAAACTTGGAGAACTACAACTCCCAGGATTTCATAGCATCGAGCCATGAGACTCCAAGTTCTAGTGCAGGCATGGGCAAACTTCGGCCCTCCAGGTGTTTTGGAATTCAACTCCCACAATTCCTAACAGCTTCAGGCCCTTTCTTTTTCTCTTTCATCAGCTTAAGTGTCGGGGGGGGGGGGGGGAAAGGGCCTGAGGCTGTTAGAAATTGTGGGAGTTGAAGTCCAAAACACCTAAAGGGTGAAGTTTGTATGTGTCAGTGTCAAAATAATTCTACTGTGTTGACATATTCAATGAATCCTAAAAGACCTGGTTTGGGGCATTAGGATGATTGAGAACTACTGTTCTACGATGTAGTTGCAATGGAGGAGGAAAACGAGGAGTATTGGGGTGCTCATAAGTATGCCCCTTTAAACCCACATAGGGGTGCCGCTACACTGTTGAATAAATGCATGCCAGTACCCCTTGAACCACCATGGCTCAAGGCTTACGATCAGAACATCCTTTGGAATGCTTTAAGGATTTTAGCTTGTAAATCGCCTAGAGCATCTTGGATGGAGGGCGATTAATAAGTAATTAAATGATGATGATGATGATGATGATGATGATGATGATGATGATGACGATGATGGAAATCTCTTTCCCTGTGTTTGTGTCCTAAGGATTCATCTGCAACTCATGCACATTCATCTGCAACTCATACACATGCCCGGTGTGGAACCCATCTCACCATGCTGAAACAGTGGATGTGGCTCTTAATGAGACAGGATGTTTACACCCCACACCACTGGAGAAATTATACTGTTTAGCCAGTATTGCATATTGCATATCTGACATGATAAATAAATAAATAAAACCAAGAACTCTAGAATCAATGCAATTTGTCACTGTTCTTATTGCCCTGGCTCAACCATGCAATCATGGGAGCTGCAGTTTAGTGAGGCCCTAGCACTCTTTGGCCTCAAAGGCTCAAGATATTGTTAAATTATCACTCCAATGATTCCATAGCCTTCAGCCCTGGCAGTGAAAGTAGGCACAAACTGCATTCATTCTATGACAGCAGTGTTTCTCAACCTGGGGGTCAGGACGTCTTGGGGGTGGCAAGAGGGTTTCAGAGGGGTTGCCAAAAACCATCAGAAAACACATATTTCTGATTGTCTTAGGCACCCCTTTGGCAGAGAAGGCTGAAGATCTCAGTCTGTCCTTCTCTTCCTTTTTGGAAACAGACTGCAAATCCTCCCACCTAAAGCCCTCCTCCCACTGTGATTGGTCAGCTTCTCAGCTAAGGGGGGGGGGCTGTTCCTTAGACTCCAAGTGAGTAAGGGAGAGCAGGCATGCTCAGGACATGACAACATGGTGTGCATGCGTGGGTGAGGGAGAGCACACAAGGCTGGAGGGAGGCTCGTGGTAGCAAGTCCTTTCAAGGCAGGGAGGAAAGAACCAACGCGATGTGAGATTGATTGTTGGTCATGGGGGTTTTGTGTGAGAAGTTTAGTCCTATTCTATCATTGTTGAGGTTCAAGGGGCTCTTGATTGTAGGTGAACTATAACTCCCAGCTACAACTCCCAAATGACAAAATCAATCCCCTCAACCCCACCAGTATCCAAATTTGGGCATCTTGGGTATTTGTGCCAAATCAGAGACTGGGCTGTGGCCCAGCTAGTTAGTAGCCAGCTGCATTAAATCACTATTGACCGAGAGTTCATAAGTTCGAAGCCAGCCTGGGTCAGAGTGAGCTCCTGACCATTAATAGCCTAGCATCTGTCAAGTAGGAAATTTAGGTACCGCTTTATGCAGGGAGGCTAATTTAACTAATTTATGACACCATAAAACCTTCCAGCAGCATGTGTAAGAATGAGGAATTACTCCATCAAGGACTCAGTGTCACAAGTGGATGGTGAAGCAGCAGCTCCCCCTGTGGCTGGGATCGAGCATATCCTCATGAAGCTGGAAAGCTGGAATATTAAATTGCCTCTGTGTCTGTCTATATATGTTGTCTGTTTAATGGTAATGAATGTTTGCCATGTATATGTGCGTTGTAATCTGCCCTGAGTCCCCTGTGGGGTGAGAAGGGCAGAATATAAATACTATAAATAAATAAATAAATAAATAAGGTCCAGTGAATGAAAATACATCCTGCATATCAGATATTTGCATTATGATTCATAACAGTAGCAAAATTACAGTGATGAAGTATTGTCAAAGGCTTTCATGGCTAAAATCACTGGGTTGTTGTGTTTCCTGGGCTGTATGGCCATGTTCCAGAAGCATTCTCAACTGACATTCCAAATTAAATAAGGTCCATCTGGGAGGGTAATGCCCTTAGCCATTTAAAGAGTATTGGCTACCATCAAGTTTGCAGACGACACCAAATTGGGAGGGATAACCAATACTCTAGAAGACAGAAGCAGATTCAAAATGATTTTAACAGATCAGAGAGATGGGCCAAAATGAACAAAATGAAGTTTAACAGTAACAAATGCAAGATACTCCACTTAGGCAGAAAAATAAAATGCAAATATACCGAATGGGGGGACACGTGGCTTGAGGGCAGTACGTGTGAAAAAGATCTTGGAGTCCTCGTGGACAATAAGTTAAACATGAGCCAATAATGTGATGTGGCAGCAAAAAAAGCCAATGGGATTTTGGCCTGCATCAATAGGAGCATAGTGTCTAGATCCAGGGAAGTAAAGCTACCACTTTATTCTGCCTTGGTTAGACCATACCTGGAATATTGTGTCCAGTTCTGGGCACCACAATTGAAGAGAGATGTTGACAAGCTGAAATGTGTCCAGAGGAGGGCAATTAAAATGATCAAGGGTCTGGAGAACAAGCCCTATGAGGAGCAGCTTAAAGAGCCGGGCATGTTTAGCCTGAAGAAGAGAAGGCTGAGAGATATCATAGCCATGTATAAATATGTGAGAGGAAGTCATAGGGAGGAGGGAGCAAGCTTGTTTTCTGCTGCCCTGGAGACTAGGACGCGGAACAATGGCTTCAAACTACAAGAAAGGAGATTCCACTGAACATTAGGAAGAACTTCCTGACTGTGAGAGCTGTTCAGCAGTGGAACTCTCTGCCCTGGAGTGTGTGGAGGCTCCTTCTTTGGAAGCTTTTAAACAGAGGCTGGATGGCCATCTGTCAGGGGTGCTTTGAATGTGATTTTCCTACTTCTTGGCAGGGGGTTGGACTGGATGGCCCATGAGGTCTCTTCCTACTGTATGATTCTACGAAAGGGTCAAGGTTACAGGTGGGATGACCAACTAAAGTGCAGGAGTTATGGTGTGATGGAACCAATTCTCTGGTGAAACTGCCTAATCAGAGAAGTATGGGCAGAGAAGGAGAGAGGCGGCCAGATTTGGGGAGATCCCTAGTGCACCTTCCCATCTACTCCTGCCCAAATCGTCCCAGGTTCCTAAAAGGGGGAGGAAGGGAGAGGGGGAGGAAACTAGGAAAGGGGTGGGGAGCTTGGCGTTGCTTTCACCCCCTCTTTGTGACCCCCTCCCTCCCTCCTTCCCTCCTCCCTCCCCCCGGAGGAGCATCAGATGACAGCTGCGCACCGAGGGAGGGCAAAGCCAAGCCGCTCTGCCACTTAGGCACGAGTGGGCTCTGAGCCGGCCCAGATCTGCCGAGGCGAGGCAGAGGCAGGAGGATCCACTCCCTCTCTCCACCGGCCAAGCTCCGTGTCGCCTGGAGAGGGTGGCAGCGCCAAGGAAAGCGAGGGCAGGGGCAGCCAGAGTTCCCGAGCTGCCTACTTGAAGTCAAGGAGGAGGAAGAGGCGGCGGGACAAGCAGAGCCGGCCAGCCCGGAGGAGGAGGAGGAGAGGATGCTGCTCCTGCTGCTGCTCCCGCTGGGGCTGCTCCTGCCGGCAGAGCTGGCCACACAAAAGTTCTCCGCGCTCACGGTAAGATGCTCCTCCGCCTCTCCTCCTCGCTTGCACCTTCCCAGGTCTTCACCTCAATGAGATCCTGGAGCTTGACAAGGTCTTCAGCCTTCCCCTGCTCCACATCCAGACTCCAGATCCCAGGCTTCCCAAGCCGTTCAAGGGGTTCCGAACTGCGTTAATTCTCGAGTATCTGAGGAGCACCGCCTTCTCTCCTTCCTCTGCCTCCGACCGCCGCCACGGGGCAGCAAAGCGCCCTCCTGCTCGCCTCCCCTCTTCCTCCCTTCCCTCCCGCGCAGGACCCGTGGGTTTCTCGCCCTGGCCACCCACACAAGGCACTTGCCGGCCTTCTTGCGCCAGCCTCCGGGCCCAGAGTTCCCTTTCTCGGGAACGCAGCGCCTCAAGATGCATCTCCACCGGAGTTTGGAGGTTATGGAGAAGCCTTTAACAGCCCCACTAACCCCAGAATTCTGCAGGAGGCAGAAACCGCATTTAAAGTGAATTCATTCTCTGGTGTGATGAAGTAGCTATGGAGTCTCCTTCTCTAGAGGCTTTTCAGCAGCGGATGGGTGGCCATCTGTCAGGAGTGCTTTGATTGTGCTTTCCCTGCATAATTCTTGGGGTGGTCCTTGGGTCTCTTCCAACTCTTGTGATTCTGTGTTGTCAAAGGCTTTCATGGTCAGAATCACTCGGTTGCTGTGAGTTTTCCAGGCTGTATGGCCATGGTTCCAGAAGCACTCTCTCCTGACATTTCATCCACTTCTATGGCAGGCATCCTCAAAGATTGTGAGGTCTGTTAGAAACTAGGCAAGTGAGGTTTATATATCTGTGGAAGGTTCAGATGGGAGAAAGAACTCTTGTCTGTTAGAGACAGGTGTGAATGTTGCAATTGGCCAGCTTGATTAGCATTTAATTGCCTTGTAGCTTCAAAGCCTGGCTGGTTGCTGCCTGGGGGAATCCTTTGTTGGGAGGTGTTAGTTGGCCCTGATTGATTCTTGTCTGGAATTCCCCTGTTTTTGAGTGTTGCTCTTATTCACTGTCCTGATTTTAATCACTCTAGCTACTACCATATCAGACTACATAGAGAAGCCATTGAAATCCACAAGCATGTGGACAATTTCAACAGAAAGGAGGAAATGAACAAAATCTGGCTACCAGTATTAAAAAAAACCTCTAAAATCAGGACAGTAAAAAAAAGAGCAGCACTCAAAAAAAAAAAAAATCCAGGGGAAATCCAGACAAGAATCAGTCAGGGCCAGTTAACATCTCCCCTCAAAGGATTCCCCCAGGCAGCAACCATCCAGGCTTTGAACCTGATAAGCAATTAAATGCTAATCAACGTGGTCGATTGCAACATTCACACCTGTCTCAAGCAGACAAGAGTTCTTTCTCCCACCCTGGACATTCCATAGATATATAAATCTCGCTTGCTTATTTTCCAACAGATCCTTCAACTTCTGATGATGCCTGCCATAGATGTGGGTGAAACATCAGGAGAGAATACTTCTGAACTTGGCCATACAGCCCGGAAAACTCAGAGCAACTCTTGTGATTCTATCACTCCACGATTCTAATGCTCAGGATTCCCTAACATGTGCCCTGGGAGTTCAAGTGGATTCAACCTGCACCCTTTCAAAAGTGTCAATGAGCCCTCACTCACTCACACACCTTTTCCCTGCGTTAAACCCATTTCAGCAAAATGTGCCTCCTCAGTTACTCAGTGTGTGAGAACAGGCAGCTCGCTCTCTGCACTGTGCAGTGTCTCTACGTTGTAAAATGGATGTGGCTGAATCCTGCTTTAATTGCCAAGGTTCAGTGCTATGACATCCTGGCAGTTATCATTTGGTGAGGCACCAGCACTCCTTGGCATGGGGCCAGGGCAGTTTAAGTGGTGTTAAATTGTATCCAGTCTACTGTAGACGCACCCTGTGTTTTGATTATTCCATACTTTTTCATTCTGTTTTAACCTCTATGGTTCCATCCATCCGCTGCAGTTGTGCCATTTGCAATTTAGGAGGAGGCAGGTTCACATTCTGTGCCAGAAGGCTGTAGACTACCAACCCCAACATTCCATAGGACACAGCAACCATGGTAGTTAAAGTGTTGTAATTCTGTAGAATAAAAGGTTGAGGGGCCTCATCACACTAGAGAATGAATCCACTTTAAATCTGGTTTTTGCCTGCTGCAGAATTCTGGGGTTTGTAGTTTAGTGAGGCTGTTAAAGGCTCCTTCTTAAACTGAAAACCCCAGAATTCTGCAGGAATTCATTCTCTAGTGTGATGAAGTAGTAGGATAGTGGTTTAACAGCTGGACTCTGGAGACAAGGGTTCGACTCCCTGCTTGGCCACAGAGATCCACTGGGTGACTTAGATGAGTCACACTCTCTCAGCTTCAGAGGAAAGCAAAGGCAAACCCTCTCCAAACAAATCTTGCCAAGAAAAACCCACAATGGATCGACTTTAGCATTGCCATAAGTTGAAAATGCAACAAGAGATGTTTCTAGCCCAGGCATAGGCAAATTTCGGCCTTCTAGGTGTTTTGGACTTCATCTCCCACAATTCTTAACAGCCTCAAGTGCCTTCCTTTCCCCCCTCAGCTGCTTAAGCAGTTGAGGGGGAAAAGGAAAGGGCTTAAGTGGCTGAGGGGGAAAAGGAAGGAGCCTGAGGCTGTTAGGAATGGTGGGAGTTGAAGTCTAAAACACTTGGAGGGCCAAAGCTTGCCCATGTCTGTTTTAATTCTAAGTGTAAGCACACATGGCCTTGGTGGTCTCTATTCTCTTATCCTGATTCTCCCAAGTAATGTATAAGTCCTACAAGGCTTAATGATACCTGAGGTTTTATTACTAGAAAGCACAGGACAGGTACTGGGTATTTGTGTGTATTGTATCACGAAGTGGGTGGTATGTATACATGATTGTTTACCCTGTCAGGGCATTGGCTACAGAATGGGCTGATGATTTATTTTTTGCTCACGTGTTGAAAGGGAAATTGAGGGTTGTTGCTTCACACTGAATGTATGCAATGGATGTTAGTCCCAATGACAATTTGGCTGAGTGTGGGAAAAGATTCAGGCTGCTCTAGGACCACTAATTCCTTAGAATTTATGGTCAGGCTTTAGTAGACACAAAACAAATGCTCCTCTTACTTTGCCTTCACTTACACAAGTTTTGGTCCCACTGAATTTCTTTGGATTGTATGATGAAGAGAGCATGATGGTTTTTAAGTGGTTTGGGTTTGGCAACCTAAAAATTGCTGGAAGACATTGGAAGTCCAGAATGTTTCTGGAACATGTCGATACAGCCCAGAAAACTCACAGCAACCCAGTCATTGGAATATTAGGCTTCTAAATGCTTTTTGAAAAAGGGAAAGTGTGAGCCACAAAACTGAAAGAGTGTGAAACACTGCTACTAAATAGGATTACATTGAACATAAATATGTTTTAGAGAATTTGGTGCCATTTTTCTTCCTAAACATGTTTGCTCAAAACTACAACCTAAAAGCAAATTTGAATGGATTACCTGGACATCTCCTTCTAAACTTCTGACAAGGCAGATACAACCCTCTTAGTAGTTACCCTGACACCACTGGCCATGCTGTCTGTAGTTGATGGGTGTTGTAGCCCAAACATCTGGAAGGCCCACGAGAATAAAGAGATTAGGCTTTCAAATGAGAGCAATTTTGTTTCAAAACTGACCATAGTGAATGGGCATGATCTGGAGACAACCAGCCATGTTTATTTGGTCTTCCCTTGAAATCAATGGAACTTGATTAAGCACTAACTGTGAGCTTAATTCCTGATAAATTTAATGTTACCTAAGCCATTCATGCTTAACTTTATCTGGATTACTTCCAGTGTGTTTCTCTGCTATGACTTCTGTTTTTCACAGCTATACTCTTTGAAATCCTAAATCTCAGGCATTTGATCTGGCTTCCTTGACCATTGAAACTACCCTTTGGCAAATCCCCTGAAGATTGCTATTTTACTAGTTCAACAGAAGAAAATCTCAATCCATTAAGAAGTTCTTGTGATCCCAGTGAAGTCTGCTTTTAAGAAGGTGCTCCTCCTTCTAAGGGGAAAGAAAGTCTTAGTTCTGGTCACTGAAATTGATTTTCAGTATGATTTTACTGAAGTTCATCAGTCTAGTAAGTTCATCATATTAGGAGGCAGAACTGTGTGGGCTTCCAGTTGTGTAATTAATTCTGTATGAAAGAACCCATGCCACAAGAGAAAGTCACTAAAAGTGAAGAATATATGATTTGGACATATGATGGCACTAGACATGAAATGTAAGAAAAGTAATGTTAGAGTGGACCAAAAGGCTATCTTTTAATCTGATATTTTATTCACACAACAGTCATTTAGTTGCCCATAGAAAGCTCACCAACAAGTTATGAATTCAACTGCACCTTCAATTTCATGCTACCAAGCAATTGATAGAGGCACTCTGCTTCTGGTATAGGAGGTGACATATAGGCATTTGACTAATATTTCACATGTATACAGAACTCTTCTAAAGTCATCTATGATGATATTCATTGCTACGTTTAATGACAATAACTTCCATAATCTAAGGATGAGATATAAGAAGTGTTTTCTTTCATTTGCCTTGAATTTCCGTAAGTTACTCAGAATTATATAGTCCTCCCTCATACAAAGACCATGCAAAGGATTGGGAGAGGGATTACTTGGACTCTTCAAATGACAATGTTCCACTTGAAGTGGGGAGTTTTACAGGCGTTTGTTGTAAATACTATCTCCTCTCTTTCCCTGTGCTCCCCTATGCTTTCATTCCCCTTCTGTCTGCTGCCTAATCTCTCCTCCACTGGAAGAAAGGAAAACTTATTTTGGGAAGTAGGAGGAAGCAATAAATTGTCATCTAATTTCTTGCTGGGGATCCAGGAATAATGGGACTTTTGAGGAACTGTACATAAAGTTGCACTGCAAAGTATTTTAAGTGTGGATGTTTCTCTGGCTTGTATGTCACAGACTGACTCATATTTCTTTTCCTTCTGTGTAAAGAG